AGCTGTGGTTAACCTGTTGTCTGGAGGACAAGTCTGGACAGCTGTGGTTAACCTGTTGTCTGCAGGACAAGTCTGGACAGCTGTGGTTAACCTGTTGTCTGCAGGACGAGTCTGGACAGCTGTGGTTAACCTGTTGTCTGCTGGACAAGTCTGGACAGCTGTGGTTAACCTGTTGTCTGCAGGACAAGTCTGGACAGCTGTGGTTAACCTGCTGTCTGCAGGACAAGTCTGGACAGCTGTGGTTAACCTGTTGTCTGCCTGTATTATTGATTATTTTCTTGTTGTGTCTGCAGGCCAAGCGAGACAGATACAGGGAAGTGGAAACCAACGGCATGCACAGGGATTTGGTTTTCAGGTTCATTGAGACCCAGGCTTTGCTGCTGGCCCCAATCTGCCCACATCTGACAGAGTATATCTGGGAGCTGTTGGGAAAGGTAAGAATAGGCAAACGGACAGTTGTTTCAGATTGGAAGGAGTTAACTATTAAATAGGAATATCCCCGTGTGATAAACAAGAATAGACCCACTGCCTACCCAAAAGCATGTCGTGAGAGTCGACTAATTGGGAGCTTTCTTCGAAGTCGGAGTGCATCTGCCTGAGAGGCAAGGAACCAACATTCTGCATATAGATCTGTCAAACGGATGCACACGCAACACTCAGGTTTTGGAACAGGACTGCAGTCCAAAAGTGGACGAACAACCAGAACTTTCCGCCGAGTTTACAGCCGGTGAACGAGAAGAAGAAGAATTTTGTCTGGAGGGGGAAAAAAATTAACATCTGGAGAGATAAAGAACGCATTCAGAACGGGAATGGTCAGATATGTTTATTTAGTACTATTATATCTCACCATCTAAACATAACTATGAGTGTTAAAAAAAAAAAACAGATTATAAACATATTTACATAAACATGGAGCTACCAGCTCCAAACAGGGACATTATGTAAAGCCCATGTGAGCACATCACCACTTGCAAGATAAGGTGCCTGAAAAAAAGCCGCAAGCCTAACCGTCCGAGAATAAATGATTCTTGATACTATCTGACAGATTGTAGCAACAACACCTAGTGCTAGATTCATCAAGAAACAGCAGATCAGGTGGTTTGGCCATCTCGTTAGAATGCTGCAACATCAAATACCATTGCAGGCACTGCATCTCAGAAGATCAACTACAAGAGCAAGAGGATCCACCCCCCCCCCCCCCCCGACATATGCGCGCGCACACACACACACACACACACACACACACACACAAAAGATGGATGCAGAACATTCAAGACAGTTTATGATAATAACTAGAAACAGCCAGCTTGCATTGCATTGCAGATTATGGTGAAATGGTTTATTAATCTGAACAATAACACAGCGGTTAGAAATTTGAATTTAAGTTCTGCGTCTTTATAACAGAGTGGTTAAGCTGTTTAGATTTAGTTGTAGACTGTGTTGTGTCATCACTGAAGCTGTACAGTTTTGTGCTTACACCCAAATGGAAATGTAAGAAAGATTCACACCAAGAAGCAGTAACAGAGATGACTTGAGAAGCTTAAAAACTGACAAAGCCTCCTAAAAAACTGGATCAGTTAAAGAGAAAAGCCGGAGAACAAAAATATATACACATTAAACCCCATAAAGTTGAAAAGTTTAAGTTGGGAAAATCAACTCTATGTTGCCCTGGGTTATCTTATATGGCCAGCCGCCTGCTGAGATCACTACACAGAGCATGAACTCTGTAGCTCCAGTGAGCATCCCCTGAGATCTGCATAAAAATTGATAAAAAATGAGGCCAGGCCCTTCAAATCACGATCAGGTGACTTTGTCACTGTCACACAGACTCATCACTGATACACGGACACTGTTACTGCCACACAGACACTTTCACTGTCGCACAGACTTTGTCGCACAGAAATACTCCATGATACTCAGGCCAGTTGAGAAGTAGAAAGATTTCATCAGCATACAACATAAACAAACAATGGTTGATGATTGTTTGTGGCCTAGGGGTTGTAAACACACTCCATAATTCCGAGTTTGCCCAGTTCAGTTCCAGCCTCCGTGTGTTGATTTTGACAGAAGTATCGAGAGGCAGTCATTCAGAAAGCAGTGGCAAACTACTGGGTCATTTAATTCCATGCTCATAGTATAGTCCTTTTTGTGTGGTTGTGTGAATGCTCATGGTACAGTCATGTTTGGATGGTTGGGTGCTCATGGTACAGTCATGTTTGGATGGTTGTGTGCTCATGGTACAGTCATGTTTGGATGGTTGTGTGCTCATGGTACAGTCATGTTTGGATGGTTGTGTGCTCATGGTACAGTCATGTTTGGATGGTTGTGTGCTCATGGTACAGTCATGTTTGGATAATTGTGTGCTCATGGTACAATTATGTTTGGATGGTTGTGTGCTCATGGTACTGTCATGTTTGGATGGTTGTGTGCTCATGGTACAGTTATGTTTGGATGGTTGTGTGCTCATGGTACAGTCATGTTTGGATAATTGTGTGCTCATGGTACAGTCATGTTTTTATAATTGTGTGCTCATGGTACAGTCATGTTTGGATGGTTGTGTGCTCATGGTACAGTCATGTTTGGATAATTGTGTGCTCATGGTACAGTCATGTTTGGATGGTTGTGTGCTCATGATACAGTCATGTTTGGATAATTGTGTGCTCATGGTACAGTCATGTTTGGATGGTTGTGTGCTCATGGTACAGTCATGTTTGGATGTTGTGTGCTCATGGTACAGTCATGTTTGGATGGTTGTGTGCTCATGGTACAGTCATGTTTGGATGGTTGTTTGCTCATGGTACAGTCATGTTTAAATGGTTGTGTGCTCATGGTACAGTCATGTTTGGATGGTTGTGTGCTCATGGTACAGTCATGTTTGGATGGTTGTGTGCTCATGGTACAGTCCAGTCATGTTTGGATGGTTGTGTGCTCATGGTACAGTCATGTTTGGATGGTTGTGTGCTCATGGTACAGTCATGTTTGGATGGTTGTGTGCTCATGGTACAGTCATGTTTGGATGGTTGTGTGCTCATGGTACAGTCCAGTCATGTTTGGATGGTTGTGTGCTCATGGTACTGTCATGTTTGGATGGTTGTGTGCTCATGGTACAGTCCAGTCATGTTTGGATAATTGTGTGCTCTTGGTACAGTCATGTTTGGATGGTTGTGTGCTCATTGTAAAGTCATGTTTGGATGGTTGTGTGCTCATGGTGCTGTCATGTTTGGATGGTTGTGTGCTCATGGTACATTGATGTTTTGATAATTGTGTGCTCACGGTACATCCATGTTTGGATGGTTGTGTGCTCATGGTAGTCATGTTTGGATGGTTGTGTGCTCATGGTACAGTTATGTTTGGATGGTTGTGTGCTCATGGTACAGTTATGTTTGGATGGTTGTGTGCTCATGGTACAGTCATGTTTAAATGGTTGTGTGCTCATGGTACAGTCATGTTTGGATGGTTGTGTGCTCATGGTACAGTCATGTTTGGATGGTTGTGGTCTCATGGTACAGTCATGTTTGGATGGTTGTCTGCCGGGTATGAGCTGGAGTCTGTTAACAATGAAACAGCGGAAAGTTGTTGGTGGTAAAACTTCTTATTCTGCACTCACTCTTAAAAGGATGGTTGGTATATTATATTGTGGTTTACAGCTAGGCATTACATCTGCACCTTTCCTACTAAAAGATCTGATTTCAGCAGTCCTAATTTGATTCCTTATATGCAGACTGTTGGTTCCTCGCCTCTCAGGCAAATGATCTCTGACTTTGGAGGAAACACTCCTAGTTATTTTACTTTGAAGACATGATTGTTAGGGGGCAGTGGGTCTCTTCTCTTGCCCCCAGAATGGAGCCCAGGAACCCGCATGGATGTGGGTGGGTCAGAGGTTTAGCCAAAGAAGGCAGTGCCAAATACCAAACCCACCAGCACTCTTCTCTTTCAGAAGTCAAAACCTCATCAGGAGAAAATCAGAAAACGAACACTGGTTATAACTGTGATCAAGAATTATGTCAGGCCTTTCAAGAACAGACCAAGTCACCAAATATCGCTTAATCAATGGACATTGCAGACTCAACGCTCATAAAAATTTATGTATGAGTGAAACAGTTCTCTGCTTGTGTCTTTGTACTGAACAGACCTCAGAACATGTCCTGCTGCAAGACTGTCCTCTCCTGGAGCCCGTGCAGCCGTGAAACTTGTGGCCACACCTTGTAAACCTGATAACTAAGCTTTGGGGAAACCATAAAGACCTCAAGCTGACATTCCAAGTATATGGCCTATAGTAGTTAAAGAGCCTAACCAGAGATTGCCAAAGAAAAAGTTCATGTAGAGGTATTCACCAAAGATCAATTACCATTTTTGAAAAGGTTAACTGAGTTTGTTACCTTTATTTTGGTTTTTCATTCTACCTGCCATTGTGAGTTTCCCCTCTGCTTGTTATTCTGACAGTTTGTTTTCTGCCCTACAGCGCCCTGTGGCTGTGCCAACTCACGCCATTATCTGGGTTGCCAAGACATACCCTCCCTGGCAGAACCTGGTGCTGACAACCTTACAGAAACTGTACCAGGTTGGTTTTGTACTTACTTCAAGTTTATTAGCCATCTGATGTAGTTGATTTATATGTTTTGGTTTTTGTGTGTGCAAATATTGTTTTTATTTCCTTTATTTATTTATTTTTTTGTGTTCACCGGCTGTGAATTCCGGCGGAAGGTCACGGTTAATCGTCCGCTTGGACTTTTGGCTTTCACCCGGACCTGATTTTTGCGTGTACAACCGTTTTAATGTTCCCTGCCTCATGGGCAGCTGTACTCCGACTTCGAAGGAAGACGTCAGGCCTATTTCTAGGTTGACTGTGGCCATTGTTTTGTGTGGGTCAAGACGTTGCCTGATTTGTGTGGAGTCCACTTTGTCTCCTTCTCCACAGGTATTGCCCCCGGAGTACCCCTTTGATGCAGCCCCCTGTGGAACAGTTAGCCCTCAAGGGAAGGCAGGGGCAGATCATGGGCATTCCTCGCCATCCAAGGAGGCTTCCATGTATGCAGAGCCGGCACATGGCGCTCTGGTTCTGGGCTCACCCAAGGAATCGTCACGTCCTGCACATGCCTGCTTAACCTCACAACCGTATCAGACTTCCTGCTCGACAAGAGCTGCGCCCTCTGGAAGTCAGCAGGGAGCAGCCTGTGGATTTTTACTTTTGTGACCACACGAAAAGGCACGTTAAATTTCTTTGACGAGCCGTTAGCCCGACAGAATTTTACATCCTGCGTCAGGCATAGCGTTATCAGTTTGGTCCCAACACTCGGGCGAGTGGGGTCTTTGGGTGTGGACCTTTGGTCTTTTTCCGTTCAGTACAAATTGTGGAGGTCAGATTTTGAGCTCACTCGTGTGCAGTAGGATCTAGTTTTGTTGGACATGTATGCTTAGCCAGCCAATCTGCTGTTGCTGTTGTGGTGTACCTCAGCGCGGTGACGACGACACTAAGGGTTACACGAGGATGTACATGGCTAGCCAACCTATGTATGGTTGCTGTTTTGGTGTACCTCAGCGCGGTGACGACGACACTAAGGGTTAACCGAGGATGTACATGGATGGCCATCCTCTGGATGGTTGCTGTTGTGGTGTACCGAAGCGCGGTGACGACGACACTGAGGGTTAACCGAGGGTGTATATTGATGGCCAGCCTAGGGATGGTTGCTGTTGTGGTGTACCTTAGCGCGGTGACGACGACACTGAGGGTTAACAGAGGATGTACAGTGAACAATGTTCTCTTCACTCCGCATTCTTTTAACCAAGGGTTGTGATTTTAGCTGTACGTTTGGCAAGCATACTCATGTTCCTAATGAGTTTTGGGGGCGGGCTGATGAGAGCCACAAGGACACATCACCTCTGGGGGCCGCCAAACTCCGAGATCCCCTGACAGCTCTGTTAATGCTCGTTTGAGACATTATCCGTGGCACACGACGAGGACGTGCTGCAGGGGTCTTGCGTGAGGTTCCGTAAAACCAGAACAGTGAAGGACTGGCGCCCGAGTGACGTACGGAGTATCTCCTTATACACATCATGTTGGACTTAACTTCCCCTCACGCCTGTGACATAAATCACCGCGCCACTATTTCCTTTAAATTGGCCACATGTTTTAGCTCATCTCAGGAACCGTTGTGGATCTTTTCAACAGTGCCCTTGGCTTCCTGGCTGACCCAGCCCAGTATGCGTACACGGTAATGTTCTGGGAAGTAAAGGTGATCTGTGTGATATTGACCAAATTACCCATCAAATGCTGATTGGTCAATAAAAAATATAGGTCTGGCAGTATGTGCCCGATGTGTCAAAGGCATGTACAGGAAGGACAAGGCCAGAAGGAAAAGGTATATCCTGTTTAGTAATTGTCTTCTTATTTTCTTATTAATGTTGCTGTGGGAGTTGTGAAGGAGTGGGCTGGGATAAAAGCAGAGCTAGACTGATCTGAACTCTTTCACACAACCTCTGCATGCAGGTCATGCTCCACCCATCTTGTTCATCTCTGTTGCTAATCCTCTTCCCATGTATTCAGTTCTCAGTTTTTTTTTTTTTTTTTTTGGTATTGTATTTTTCAGGAAAACAATGGTTTCCCTGACAACAAGGTGATATCCCAGGAACTGGGCAGCAAGCCGGAGCTGAAGAAGTACATGAAGAAGCTGATGCCATTTGTTCAGGTGGCCAAGGTATATCATGTTTTCTGTTTGTCACCAGACAGTTAGATCAGCCCTTTCTTCATGGTTAATGGGCCACTGGGAGCTAATTGAACACACACTGGTTGGGGAGCTTAACAAAAGACGCACACAGATTTATACAAGGAAATATTTTTGATCAGTCTTTAACAGCAGACATATGACAAGAATATTTACCGGTGAAAATGAGTGAACACAATCACACAGAAAAGTAATCGTTAAAAAAAAAAAAAATTACAGCCTAAGTTAGTAAGCGGAGGAAACATGAATGTTAGAAAGGGAAATATGAATATAAATGTGTCTAGAGATGCAGACAGACATTTATATTACCATTTGCTGATATGAACAATTGTGTCAGAGATTCATTACATCTTATAATAAGGTTATCAGTATGGTGTTGGATGTCTAAAGAATGAACAGCCTTGAGGAATAATGTATGCAACAGTTGGTAGATGACGTGAATACAAAAGATTTTGAATATTGTACATAGAAAGACCTCTTTCGTTAAGCATCTGCCAGCCTGAAGATCTTTTATTCAAATCTGAAGCCATCCCGTTAGGTTCTGGGTCACACCCCTCCCCAGCCATCGCGTTAGGTTCAGAGACACAAACCCCCCCCCCCCAACACACACACACACACACACACATCCCAACCATTCCGTTAGGTTCCGGGGCACATACCCCAACATGTTGTAAAAGTAGACTGATAATGAGTGTTTCCTTTGAACTCGCTGTTTCTCTACCTGAAAGGAGAAGAATCAACAGTTTGCACACAGACAAGCCAGATCTGTAAAATGGAT